ATACTATGACATGGACAAGGGTGCTATAGTATATTTAAAAGCTGGATTGCCACAGTGGGGCAGAAGAAGCCTGAAGGGTTTATGGCCGGGGAGTCAGCCTTTGAGTCTGCATTATGGTTGTGATGTGTCTTCAAGTCATTTTTGATCTTGGTAACTCTATTTTGAGGTTTTCTTGGCACAATTTGTTCAGAGTGGGTTTGTCTTTGCCTTCCTCTGAGGCTGAGAGTGTGACTTGCCCAAAGTCACCCAGTGGGTTTCCATGGCCAAGCAGGAATTTGAACCCTGGTCTCCAGAGTCGTAGTCCGACGTTCAAACCACTACACCATGCTGACTTGAAACAGTTCCATCCTATTGCAATCATCATTGAATGAACTGAACTCCTAAAAGGTAAGATACAGTAGTAACATTTTGGGTTAACACTTTTGGACTAATAGGAATATCAGTTCATCCTCATAAGAATATAAGGAAAGATCTGCTAGATCAGACCAGAATGGCTACCATTCTCTTCCCTCAGTGATCATTCAAAGCAAGACATAAGCACAACAGCACCCTATCACTTGGGTACAACTACTTTTCTGTCCATGGACAAGAGTGCGGAAAGGTTTCTTGTTTGGAATCCAGCTTCTACAATGTTAAAAACTTGCTAGCCAGGGGTTATGTTGGCTAAATGGATCAGGTAGCTGCAGTCCAGAATTTACATCACACGTAAATAAAATATGTAGCTTTACTTCCAGACCTCACCTGGAATATTGTGTCCAGTTCTGGTCACTACAGTTCAAGAAGGATCTTTACAACCCGGAGCATGTCCAAAAGAGGGTGAACAAAATGGTGAAAGGTCTGGAAACCGTGCCTTATGAGGAGCAACTTAGGGAACTGGGTATGTTTAGCCTGGAGAAGAGAAAGTTAAGTAGTTAGATGACAGCTTTGTTTAAATATTTGAAGGGATGTCATATTGAGGATGCAGCAAGTTTGCTTTTTGCTGCTCCAGAGACTAGGACATGGAACAATGGATTCAAGCTACAGAAAAAGAGATTCTACCTAAATGTTAGGAAGAACTCCCTGATGGTAAGAGTTGTTCGACAGTGGAACACATTCCCACGAAGTGTGATGGAGACTCCTTCTTTGGAGATCTTTAAACAGAAGCTAGATGGCCCTCTGTTGGGGATGCTTTGATTGTGAGTTCCTGCATGGCAGGGGGTTGAACTGGATGACTCTTGTGGTCTCTTCCAACTCTATGATTCTATACTTAATGCTCAATTCACTGATTTTCAGATTGCTAGTCACAGTCTCTTTTCCTGCCTTTTTAAAGATAAACAAAAGACATCTCACTTTAGAATAACAGGACATCATTAGATGATCTTTTGGTTCTTTTGCAGTTTGTTTCAGTTTGCAAACTCTAAACATCAATACACTAAGAGTTAATAAAACAACTAATCTCCACTGACGTCCCCTCATTTGCTATGCAAGCACACCAAGAGTTTAATCATATGCGTTACTGTAATCAACCTGCCAATCACATGTTGAAGTATTGCAATTTTTGACAGAATTACAATCAAATGCCTCCACCTCCAGCCCAGCCCATCTAAAACGTGGAGACGGCAAGACTGGTATTGTGCTACCAAAAGAGAGGGAGAAAGGGAAGTCGCAACAACAAAAAAAGGGGGGGAAATGCGAGGCAAAGAAAAATTAACAAAACATTGTCGATATGCAGACATTTTAAAAGAATGGAATCTGCTAACACTTTTTGCTCTATAAATTGGTTGTATAGTTTCTTAACCTTAGATTAACTTAAAGTTGTCTTATCTCAAGTCAGCATAAGTTGCAATCACTCGGTACTTTTTGCAAAGACTGTCAGTAAGTACCACATGGTTTCAGACCATGGCTGGTGCTGCCATTGGAATTGTTAATTGTTTAATTTTTTTATTAGCAGCATCCACAGTGTAGGAATAATCCAGTTTTACACCACTTTAACTGCCATGCCCCAGTGTTATGAAATCCTGGGAATTGTTTTTTTGACACCAGATCTCTCTGATAGAGAAGGCTAAATGTTTCACAAAACTACAATTCCAGCATTCCATAGCATTCGGCCATAGCAGTTAAAAGGGTATTAAACTGGATTATTTCTGCAGCGAAGCCACTGTATTTTTGAAAGAGCCTGGAGATACAAATCTGCAGAAATAAATCAGTTTGACACCACTTTAACTGCTGTGGTTCAGTGCTATAGAGTTCTGGGAATTGTAATGTTGTGAGACATAGCCTTCTCTCTCAGACACATCTCATGCCACAACAAACTACAATTCCCAGGAGTACCTAGCACCTAGCCATGGCAAGTGGAGTCAAACTGGAGTATTTCTACACTATCTTGTCAAAAGTAGCAACAATCATTTAATTTCAGCATTTTTTTTCCCACTGCAAGAAAGTCTTTGAAAAGCATGCAGTTTTCAAAAGCTATTCACAATTTGGAACTTAATCTGCACAAAATTTGCATGTGGCTGTTTTGCACAGAAAACACATAGGAAATATTAGTTCCTATGCAGAAAATGCTATTTTCTATGCAGAAAATGTAGGTTTCTATGCAAGTTAACCACATGTGTGAATTTTATGCAGAATAAATCCCCACTACAGCACTTTCTGTGCAAGAGTTGATATTTCTGCATCGAAATATTATTTTCCCCATGGAAAATGCTATTCCTTTTGCAAAACAACCACATGCAAATTTTGTACAGAATACATCCCAAACTGCAAAGATTTTTGTCGGTCCTGAATTCTTCTCGTCAGGGTTTCTCAACATTTACAATATACGTTTTTCTACCATTTTTGGAATATTTTTGAATATTCTTGCCATCCCTACTGCAGCCCTTTGACAAATCCAACTGCCTTATTTTGGATTCAGTGTCATGCAGACAGCATTAGAGTTTCTTTAAAATGATCATCATCACCACCAACATCATCCTCTGCTTTCTGCTATCTTTCTGTAATCAGAGCCTAGAAAAGTTAGTTTTCTGGGCTATAAACCCCCAAATCCCATACTGGCTAGGAGATTCTGAGAGCAGTAGACAAAAAGTCGCATTTCCAATCTCTGACTTCACTTTCTTGAGTTAATCTTTTACAGCTTCAACACTGTTTTGGCTAGACTTGTTTGTGCCTGAGAGCATGAGGGTAACACAACAGAAATATCAGAAGCATTATGGCAAAATATTTTGGCTTACACCTTCTTCAGCTACTCTGAAATGAATTAAAATTTGGACCTATACACACACTATACTATTAAATTCCACTTTACGTTCCATGGCATCCTCCAATAGGCTACTGAGCTTTATAGTTGGGGAAGGCACTAGAGCTCCCTGTCTGAGAATTTAAAACAAACAAAGAAACAAACAGCCTTCTCTAAACTGTATTCAGATATTCCATAGGATGGAACCATGCCAGTTAAAGTGGAATATAATGCTATATTTCTGTAGCATAGGAGGGCCTTATGTTGTATCAGATAATAATTGATAATTATGGAACAGAACAGATTGAAAATTCCAAAGTGTGGTGTTTGCAATGAATGAAAAGTGTCAGGTATAGACCATTCAGGGGTAGCTGTGTTGGCCATTTAACAAACTGAAACAAAAATCCATCAGCGATACCTTTTTTGGCTAGACTTATTTGTGCAATAAAGATATCGCTGATGGATTTTTGTTTGAAGGTATAGACCACGACGAGGTTACATTTCCCAAAATCTCCCAAGGATTTTGAGAGATGCAAACCCACCCATTCGCAAAAGTAACCTTTTTAACCTCAGATGAGTTGTCTTCTAGGTTGAAGCACTGTTGTGTCAAGTGAGAGGGCAAATCCATAGGATCCAGGGACCATTTTTGCATTTCATTGGAATCATAATGGGCTGCTTACCTCCTCCAACATCCCTCTTCCTCCCATCACCTCCAAAATATCCTTTAGAGTAGACCCACCAAAAGATAAACTGTACCCTTCAGAGACATGGGGGGACGGGTGGATTTGCCCTCTAAGTATCACCCCCCCCCCCGACCTTTACCTCTACAAAATGCCTTTTGGGACAATTTAAGAGAGAGCTCAAAGTTATATTTTGAAGCCAAAATGTATGGATCAGGTTCCTGGAGATGCAATTTGGCCCTTGTAGGCCTGAATTTTCAGGTTGGAGGATCACATAGCAGTCTGTACGGATTGGGGTGCAATTTACCCAGCCAACATTAATATCCATAAGTTCTCTCTTTTTTCCAACATTCTTGAATCAGATGGCATTTCTGTTCCAAACTACACTCTTCTGGGATCCAGAACAACTTGACTGAAGGGCTCTTTGATGCTTCAAAATCCAATATTTGCTGATTTGATTTTCATTCTCAACAGAGATCTTTCCCTTTAAGCATAACTATGGAAGCATAAATACAACCCACTTATTTATTAACAAATGTAGGAAAGACATCAAACACTTCATACAAAGCTAAGTAAACACTTCAAACATGATTTCTTTTAAGTTGTTTTAATTTCTAGTGATGTTCTCTAGATGACCAAGAAGATGTTGAATATGTAGTTAGAATTTGTATATGGGTGGGCAGTCACCCTGTGCTTCAGACCACATATAATTTTTCAAGCACAGTTGTGTCTTACATTGCAAGTGTAATTGCTGTCAAACAATTCCTCTTAAACTATATTGGTGTTATTTTTTTTTTACCAAAGTGACCTTGCAAGGCTTTTGAACTTGACTTTGGCTCTTGCCCTTCCAAGTGAAATGTTAGTAACTTTCATTTTTAAACGCATTATTACTTTTACAATTAAAAATGCTTTATACATAAATGCATTTATAAAAAAGTGACATATCTGTTAGTGTGTGTATATTGGGGGTATGCATAGTTATGGACCATTTCCGACGTTGTCACTTGCTTTATTTTACTGTTCTTTGCTTGCTTTTAAAATCAGATGTCTTTTAAAAGTTGATTACGTATTTTTAGTAACAGAGAAATTGCTTTTTCTGTTAGAAAGAGGGAAGGAAATGATTTTGCAATGACAATTTTTGTAGAAGACTCCCTTTAACAGGACAGTGGGTCACATCAAAACCAAGCCAGTAATAGGAAGGAGTTATTACTATCTGATGACCATTTTGGTGGTCTCCGGGAAATAATTTAGTCATCTGACTCCAGATTTCTCTGTAGACAGATGTCCCTTCTCACACCAACAACTGTTACAATTGGCACTGGTGTATTTGTTGGCAACACCACCGTTCCCCACAAAGCAGGCAGGGTACTGAACAGACCAAAGAGTGAATTATATATCCCACATTTCTTTCATGACAATAGGTTATTTGTCCTTCCAG